CTCAGTACACAGGGTTGACAGGGATGAGCAACTTAGACATTGGCTACCCAAAATGGGGGAAGCTACAAAGGCAAGAAGTAACTGGCTGACAAGCTTTCAATAGGCAGCCTAGTTCTAGAGGGTGTGGGGGAAGGTAGAATCTCCACTGAATGGTTTTCAATCGGTCTGGTTGAGGCTGGTGAAAGGAGATGGGGATAAGACTCTTGTGGTACAACATTAAATAATTGCTCTCAGGACTGATAGTGAGGGTTGGAAATGTAAAGGTAGACCTTTTATTTTGTAGCAAAAGGAGGGAAGTGGTTGAATTTGCAGTCCCGGACAGAAGGTCCCTGAAACCATCAAGGGAGAAGAGCAGAGTGCGGGACCCTGCCCAGAGAAGCAGAGATGGAGGCAGAGATGATGACTGTGGAGAGATGGAGTGGCTGGGGACTCTGGACTCAGGGAGGGAGAGGGGCTGGTACTAATGGCCGGGGGGGTAGACTTGCAGGGTGTACCCTTTGGTTATTTGATGATACAGGGAGGGGATTGTAATTCACTTCAATGAAATGAAATAAATAGGATAAATGTAAAGCTAATGTTCTCCATGTAAAACATCACATAATTCACAATAAAAACTTAAAAAAAAAAAGTATAGTCAGTCACAATGCTCCATAGCAGCCAGGATGGCCCGACTTGGTCTCTCATCCTTGGAACAGATCAGTCCCTTTAGAAGGGTGTCATCTTAATGGAAGGTTGGTGAAAGGAGGAAGACTCCCAATGAGATGGACTGGCACAGTGGCAGCAGCAATGGGTTCAAGCTTAACAATGACTGTGAGGATGACGCAGGACCAGGCAGTGCATAAGGTCTCCACGAGTCGGAACCAACTCGACAGCACCTAGCGATAACATACGGGGATAAGTCAAAAAGTATTGCTATGAAACCATAAAACCCTTTATTAAACAAAAATACTACCTTTATTTAAAAAAAAGGTAGTAGGCCTCAACCAAGTCTCCACCTCTAGATCTATACACGGCTGAAGGCAGCCTTTCCATCTCTCTAACCTACTTCCTTGATGAATTACATAGTCTTCTACAAACACCACATCAAAGCGGCAGTTTGGGCATTCTCAAGAGACTCAATTGGATTCCTTTGAAAAGTTCTTTGAGTTTGTGGAACCAAAAGAAGTCTGAATGGGCAAGATCAAGGCTGCAGGGTACATGAGGTAAGCTTTCCTACAAAATGCTTATAGGACACACATTACTCTCAATGGAGAGAAACTGAAAGCCTTCCCTCTGCGAACAGGAACCAGACAAGGTTGTCCTTTGTCACCACTCCTATTCAATATTGTGCTGGAAGTCTTAGTATGAGCTATACAGCAAGACAGGGAAATTAAAGGCATCCAAATTGGCAAAGAGGAAGTAAAACTCTCTCTATTGGCACATGATATGATCCTATATGTAGAAAACCCCAAAGACTCAGTAAAAAAGCTATTAGACCTCGTTAGAAGATTCAGCAAAGTGGCAGGATATAAGATCAACATACAAAAATCAGTTGGATTTCTCTATACCAATAACTACCGCACTGCAAAGGGCATTAGGAAAGCAATACATTTTACAATAGCTGCCCAAAGGATGAAATATCTAGGAATAAATGTAAAAAGAGAAACAAAGGACCTATACAAAGAAAACTACAAAACACTACTATAAGAACTCAAGAGACCTACAAAAATGAAAGAATGTACCATGCTCCTGGATAGGAAGACTTAACATTGTGAAAATGTCAATACTGCCCAAAGCAATTTACACATATAATGCAATCCCAATCCAGATTCCAACAACATTCTTCAAAGACATGGAAAAAACAATTATAAACTTTATATGGAAAGGAAAGAGACCCAGGATAAGCTAAGCACTGCTTAAGAAGAAGAATAAGGTTGGAAACCTCTCACTCCTGGATTTCAAAATTTATTACATGGCTACAGTGTTCAAAACAACTTGGTTCTGATACAATGAAAGATATATTGATTAATGGAACAGAACTGAGAATCCAGAAATTAACCCATCCACATACAGCCAACTGATTTTCCACAAAACACCTAAATATATCGCATGGGGAGGTGACAGTCTCTTCAACAGATGGTGCTGGCAGAACTGGAAAACAATATGCAAAAGATTGAAATAAGAACAACAAGGAAGCTGCAAGCCACCGCAGAACATGGATGAACCTTGAGGACATTATGTTGAGTGAAACTAGTCAGTCACAAAAGGAGAAATACTGCATAGGATCATTACTGTAAAAGACTAAGAAAAAGAACCCATACCGGAATGTGGGGGTGGGGTGTGGAGAGGGAGGGGTAGGTGCATCACAGGGTAGGGAATAGACACAGGATAGTTTGGGTGCTAGAGAGGAGGGCAATGCACAAGAAGGGGGAGGGGAATGGAAGAACAAAGCAGACAGGAAAATAATTAGGCAGGTTTGTATGGGCTAAGTGGAACAGAAGTAAACAATGATATATGCACAACCTTAGAAAAACAGGGCTCTGGGATACAGGAATTGAGACATGGTTGGAATGGGGTAAAGGGGAGAAATAATGCTAAGATGCATGGTTGTCTTTTGAATCTTGGTTTTCCTTGCATTATATTATAAAATAGACACTGGAGGGGGAGAGAAAGGAATAGCCAGAAATATCACCATCGAAAGCTTGTAAGTCCGTCTTCTGCCTATAACTGATTGGAATATCTAAAATGGGGCTACAACGTGCCCAGTGAAGGAGGCTTCCTGCATCACATATAACTATAGGTGGAATCCTGAACCCCATCCAGAATTTTCTGAGGTGGGAAATCTCCACTTGTAAGGACAAGCAGACCAGCTTGGAGCAGCTAGAAGAACAGAAGATACTTCTTGAAAGAAAGACCAACAGGAAAAATACAAAACAATACAGTCAGTCCTACTGATTACTACAAGAACAAGCAAGTTGCTCACCCAGGAGACATCAAGGCAAGTGGTTGGGTGCCCTCAGTGCAAACCCCCTTCCAAGACTAAGACTCGATAGGAATACACGCTGTGATTGGTGACCATGTTCGTCACTGATAAAGGGAAGTGAGGGAAAAACAGCAATGAAGCTGCGAGTTGAGCCCTACAACATTCAATAGATTACTGTGAACCCAGAGATGGAGGCAGAGACGATGATGTGGAGAGATGGAGTGGCTGGGGACTCTAGACCCAGAGAGGGAGAGGGGCTGTGTGATGACCAGGGGGAAGGCTTGTGGGGTATATCCTTTGGTTGGTTGATGATGCATGGAAGGGATTGTAACCACGGCAATGAAACAATGTAAGATAGGATGAATGTAGGGCTAATGTTCTCCCATGTAAACGATCACATAATTCACAATAAAACATTAAAAAAAAAAAGAAATTCTCACAGGACAGCCTTCAAAGAATGAGAAGTACATTGCTAAGATGGAAAAAAGAATCCGCCACACAACCTTCCTGGCCTTTTTCTCATCCGTGCAGTTTCTGATTTTCTCACATCTTCGTCCTAACATAGCCTCATGACTGACGTCTCATATCCTTTAAGAAAATCTATCAGAATTACTCTTTCAGAAACCAAAAAACAGTTACCATAGCCCTTTGGAGAGGAAGCTCTTGCCTTGAACTTAACTGGCTCAGCAGAGCCCCTCAGAAGTCCCTGTTCTGACTGGACCGTTTTTTGGAAGGCATCCGAATGAGGCTAAGACAAGCGTATTACTAAGAAAGCCTGTCTGAAGCACAGAGGCATATTCAAAGGCATTCTGTTTAGAATGAACCCATGCATGCATGAACTGGATCTCGGGTGTAGCACTTCTTTATTTACCCCAGTATTTCTAAATAGATAATTCTTAAACAGAGAAAAGATGTGGCAGAAGTTTAGTTATTTAAAAACAAGTGTCGTGAAACCTAAAAGAATTTACAGGCAAAATGTGCAAGTTGAAGTTGATTAAGAAATATTTGCTCCTGACTGTCATTCACAGCATGAAACATACTTTACATGATGCTGCATTCACATAAAACAGAAACAATTTCATTTTACTATAACACACTGATATTTTCCATTCTACTGTTGTTGTTGTTTTAAAACACTGATCATTAAACCACTAAGCAGATTTCAATCACAATCTTCAGTTTGAAAAACACTGTTCCAGAAAATCACCAAGATCCAGAATTATTCGATCCTTAAAAGCCCACTGCCATCCAGTCGATTTTGACTCACACTCCCGCTACTTATGGTTTCCAAGGCTGTAAATAAACACTGACGGGAACAGAAGCCACCTCTTTCTTCCATGGAAAGGCTGGTGGATTTGAACTGCTGAACTTGAGGTTAGTAGACCATTGTGTAAACAATGATTTAGGCAAATGCTCTGGACTTTGCCCTTCCTATAACCCAATCCTCATCCTTAACATGGCCTTCTGAACCTTGTGTTCATTGTTGTTCTCAAGTGCCATCGAGTCAATTCTGACCCATAGCGACCCTGTAGAGCGTTTCCAAGGAGCAGCTGGTAAGCTTGAAGCACCGACCTTGCAGTTCAAAGAACTCTGCAATCTGACACATTAGCCCACAGCACCAAGCCAGGACTCCTTGTGTTCACTGGACATTCCAAAATTCCACTCTAATTCTCTGCTAACAGAAACTTTCTATCATAAATTTGTATATGTGGAGTACATGTGATCCAATGGAGACAGCACTTGATTTTACCACAGTTTTTGTTTTTAAACTTCATGTACTCAATTAACATTTGAAGTTGAACTGAATTTTGAATAGGCAGTATTTAAAATCATTAAGGATATAATCTGTGCTAAAATGAACTCATTCTGCTTGTCAAGTTTATTATGTTTTTCAATGATAGTGAAAAACTAGATAGGCTACCTATTTCTTTCCATCTAGGTACGCATCAACTTAACAATGCACAAATTCTGATCACTAAGTCAGACCTCAATTTCACACTGTATGGCTAATAAAAGCAAATGGGAAGATGAGACCTACCTTCAGCCAACGTCAAGGCTTCCATGATTTTAACAGGAAGAGAAGATCCAAAGGTTTTTACATCATAGTTCACGGACTCTGTTACTGAATGGTGTAGGAACATTCGCGAGGGTGTTCCTCTGAAGAAAAGAGACTGTATTACTTCATAGTTCAAATTTTCCATGATCCTGTTTTTCATGTATATAATTTCTAATTATAAAGAAGATCTTAAATAAATAAAAAGGAAGAAGAGGTGTGACGATGGAAAGAACACTGGCTCATCTACACTTGTGTAATTAAATGTATTTTTCATAAAAACAAGACAAAACAACAAAAAAAACTGCCAGGGTTTATGAGAACGTGACTTCAGGTTATTATGATCTAACAGGCATCTCTATTTGCTTAAACTCTAACTCTACTTCCCTTAGCTGTCAAATAAGAAGACTACATTAGTGTTTTTCACACTGCATGTCAGTTTCAGGGTCTCAGTCAGCGTTTTTTGGAAAACAAAATAGAATATACACTATCAGTTTACCACATGTTAGTGTCAAAAAAGTTTACCATTGGGTTAGATAACCATTAAAGCCTTCATCCAGTTCTAGAATTCTAAGACTCTACAGATTTCTGCAACCCAGCATCTGCAGTCACCTGGCCTTCAATAGCAGATAAAGCAGTAGAATCATATTTCCTTTTCACTCAGTAGAATCATATTTCCTTTTCACTCACTTCTTCACATTACAAACATTAACATACAGTCATCCCTATCAAAATGACCCTATCTCCTGTCAGGAAAAATAAAGAATGGTCTATATGTGTAGTCTGTATCTAGAGTGGCTTTGATTTTTGACAGAAAACAAGATTGTCTTTCAATGACCAACAAAAGGTGAGAAGAAAATTTTCAGAATAAAACAAGATTTTATTTTGACTTTTCTCAAAAAGAACAGAAAATAATGGCAAAAGCAACACTTTCAAGATCATTTTTCAAAATCAAAGATCAAAAGGCAAGGATATTGTGTACTCTTTAAAAATCACTTATCCTTTACTGTATTGCCAAAATTGAGTTGATAAAATTTAGCCATGAATTCCAGACATTTTTCATGCAAGGAAACTTTATTTTTGATAGATAAATTCAGAGGAAATTACTCAGAAACAGAAGCTACTTTCTTCTAAAGCTGTAGATTATGAACATGTTTTTGTGAACTACCGTTGAGTTATTCAGACTCACAGTGACCCCGTATAGAGGTTCCAAGATAGGTTTAAACCTCTGACCTTGTGGTTCAGAGTCCAGAGTCCAGGTCATGAACTTGGAAGGGGTAACGTGGACAGCTGCAGCTCTGTACTTGTACTAGGTTACAAAACTGCATTTCTTATAGAAAACCTTTTCCCTATTACTTTAGCTATAAAGTGGAATTGTGTAGCTAAAAATCCTTTTATTACCAAAACTATTAATTGTCTAAGATAGTAGGCACTAATAGAATGATATTCTGGGAGTCCTGGTGTGGCGCTGCGGGGTAATGCACTGGACTGCAAGGTTGCTTTGAACCACAAGGTTGGCGGTTCAAGCTCACCAGCCGCTCCTTGGAAACCCTATAAAGGGTGGCTGTAAGTCGGAACCGACTCGATGACACTTAACAACAACAACAACAACACGTCAGATATTATCATCATTTTACGTGTGAGAAGACTCCAAGTGACTTACTTCAGACCCCAAAAGTAGGAAGGTGAAGAGTGACCAATGATTCAAATTCAGTTTATTCTTGATTTCAGAATGTTCATAAAAAGTGTTGGTTGATGATGCATGCAGGGGATTGTAACCACGGCAATGAAACGATATACGATAGGATGAATGTAAAACTAATGTTCTCCCATGTAAACTATCACATAATTCACAATAAAACAATAATAAATAATAAAGTGCGAAGTGATGACTCCACCGACAGATCCACCCAGTTCAATGCGAAATAACAACTGGCCACGGTGGCAGAAGTCTGTTTTCCCAGAATTTTGGAATCTCGCCCCAGATTCCAGAAAACACCTGTCTCGGTGGAGACACTCCCCCTCGGGTCCCTGGAAACCTGCGATGGTCTTCGGGGCACCGGGGAGCGATCACTTACCGAGAGCTCAGCGAGCTTCGCCGGCCAACCGGCGAGAAGAGCACAGGAGAGCTGACTGCAGACCCCAGTGGCAGCCCCTTCCTGCTGGCCGCCCGGGGCGTGGAGCCCGGCCCGACCCCTCCAAGAGGACCCCTTCGAGACCCGGGACCCGGGGTTCGAGGGGAAGGGACCGCTGGGAACATGATGCGAGGAAGCGGCCGAGGGTAATACGAGCGCTCAGATCAGTGAGGCTGAGCCTCAGCGCGCGGAAGTTGAACTCTAAAGAGGACGCCCGGTGATGACGTCTGGACGCAGCGCGCAGTCTGCGGGGCGTGGTGAGAGCAGCCGGCGAGGGTGGCCGCCATTGATGACGTTTGCACCTATGCTCTAGAGCGCGGGGGCTCTCCATACGCTACGCACTGGACTGAGAACCATCAGATCGGCATTTCGAGCTCCCACCCCCCCAGCCGCTCCCGAACAAAGTGAGGCTTTCTGCTCCTGCAAAGATGTACAACCATGACGACCATGTGCCGGCTCGCTAGGAGTCGGAAGCCACTCGCCAGCACGTAACCACCGCAAAAACAAGAACTGGACTTCTAACTGCAGGGTCGGCGGTTCAAGTCCAGCCGCTCCTCGGAAATCCTATGCAGGGTCGCTAGGAGTCGGAACCCATTCGAAGGCACTTATCAACAAGCTAAGCGGGGATGGTGGTAGCGACAGCATCTGGGGGAGGCGGCGACCTTTGGTGAATTTCGGGCTGCGGCGTCGTGTAACTGCAGCCTCCGGGGGCAGCGGGTTAGGGTTCGCTGCCAGCGTCCTGAGCCACTGCGGCCAGAGTCCCTGTCTTCCCTGAAAATCAGAAAAGGAAAACCAGACGACCTGCCCAACCCTAGCAACTGGGCTGGGAAGCCACTTCGCACCCTGGCAGCTACTGAACCTCTTAAAAAATTGAAAGTGTTCGGTAGTCCGAGCTGAAGAGGGCGCACTCGTTCAGACTGAATGCTTTCACGCCCAGTGATGTATTTGTTCTTCTCTAGACGTGTCTTTTTCACTCTAACGAAGCTCCAAATCCCGTATCTCTAACGCAGACCCTTCTCAAAAATGCCAGACTTGTAGCAGCACCCTAAGGCACTTGTCCTCTGAGTGGCAGGAAACCCGCACAATGCGCTTGTTAAAAATGGAATGCATGTGTACTGGCGTACCCCACCCTCTACACCCTACGGTCCAACTAGTAAAACACATCATACTTTAAAACCCCAGCTTCCTAACAGCAGCCTAGTGTCCTTGTCACCTGGCTGCCATATGTTGTTAAGTGCCTTGAATTCGGTCCGACTCATAACAACCCTTTATATTGTTTCCAAGGAGTTGCTGGTGAGATTGAACTGCTGACCTTGCTTTTTCTACAGCGCCACATCAGGACTCCTATTGTTTTTGTTGTTAAGTACTGTCGAGCCGGTTCCAACCCATAGCAACCTTGTATAGGGTTTCTGAAGAGCTGCTGGTGACCTTGAACAGCTAACTGCAAGGTCGAAGGCCCTATTGTTGTTGTTATGTGCTGTGGAGTCGGTTCCGACTCATAGCGACTCTTTACAGGGTTTCCGAGGCTGTAAATCTTTATGGGAGCAGAAAGCCTCCTCTTTCTCCCGCGGAACAGCCCGTAGTTTACAACGACTGACGGTGAGATTATCAGCCCGATTTGTAACCACTACGCTACCAGAGCGCCTTGGAGGTTCTATTTTGCTGTTGTTGTTGTGTGCCGTGGAGTCGGTTCCGACTCATAGCAACCCTGTACAGGGTTTCCGAGGCTGTAAATCTTTTAGATTCGCACAATTCTCTTGTTAAACCTGAATGCATGTTTCCTGTAGGGCCCTCAAGTTCTACCATCTGCAGGGTTGGGGAACTTGGGCCCTGCCAAGGCAACCACAGTTCCAACCAGCCCATTGCTCTTGTTAAGTACCTTCGAGTTGGTTTCTACTCATAGCGACCCTGTATAGAGTTTCTGAGGGACAACGTGGTCCAGTGTTTATCCTACAGTACCACACCAGGGCACCATCATATTGTTGTTATCTGTCATCGAGTCGATTCTGACCTATAGCGACCCTGTATAGGGTTTCTAAGGAGCAGCTGGTGAGCTTGAACCACCGACCTTGCAGTTCAAACGACTTTGCAATCTGACAAATTAGCCCACAACACCACACCAGGACTCCATCACCTTGTTGTTGTTGTTGTTGTTGTTGTTAGGTGCCATCGAGTAGGTACCGACTCATAGCGACCCTATGACCCGATCCTAGGCCAACCTCATTACTGTGTCCATCACATTGTTGTTGTTAAGTAACTTTGAGTCATTTCTGACCCATAGCGACCCTGTATAGGGTTTCTGACACATTGCTGTTGTTTGTTGTTACGTGCCGTGGAGTCGGTTCCGACTTGTAGCGACCCTGTACAGGGTTTCCGAGGCTGTAAATCTTTGCAGGAGCAGAAAGCCTCATCTTTCTCCTGCGGAACAGCTGGTAGATTCGAACTACTGTCCCTCAGGTTCGCAGCCCGATTCGTAACCACTACACTACCAGAGCTCCTTAGGGGTGAGTTAATTAAATGTTTGACCAAATATAACTGGCTAATTTTTAAGTTAAAAATACTTAAAACTTAAAAATCCTACAGCACCACACCAGGACGAAGACTTTTCCCCCTGCCCCACCCCCTGAGGTACTGGCCAGTTCTACCAAGTTAAACTGTATCAGGTGTGGGGAATCTTTTTACTGTCAAGGGCCATTTGGATGGTAGAAGCATTCTGTGTATAAGGTGACTATGGGTCGGTATTGACGCGATGGCACCTAACAACAAAAACAAATTTTTAAGTTGATAATTTTGTGTAACCTTTTTACTGCCAAAGGCCATTTGGACGCTTATAACATCCAAATATGTGATACGTATCCAAAAGGCCCTTGACAGTAAAAAGGTTCCCCACACCTGATACAGTTTAACTTGGTAAACCTGGCCAGTAGGTCTTCATCCAGCTGTGGAGCTGTAGGATCAGCACTCAACTGTGAACCACAAGGCCAGCAGTTCAAACCCACCAGCTGCTCCTCAGAAACCCTACACAGGGTCACTATGAGTCGGAACCAACTCGATGGCACTTCACAACATCCTGGATTCCCCTCCACGTTTACATTCAGCATGGCATCCGGGTATACTGTAGCCCCTTCATATCTGGTGTTTTTACACACAGATATCCTCTAGAACAGAGTAGAGCTGCTCATAAAGCCATGAACCTTTATGGAAACAGACAGCTTCAGCTTGCTCTGGAAAAGCAGCTTGTAAAGTTCACATTACCAACTTTTGGTTAGCAACCCAATGCTTACCCCACGGTGCACAGAAACAGAATTGACGCAACCAATTCCCTCTTAGACTTGACTGCTCTCCATTGCTCTGGGCCCTAAGACTTGAAGACTCTCAGCAAAGCTGGATACAGACATAGAAGGAAAAGGATAAAAGCAGTTTGCTTATGATTTCCCAGGGAAATATCATCAATCGACACACACACACACCCACCCCTCACACCCACCCCCGTGATCTCCCACATGCAGATATGCCAGTGTTTATTTAACCATTCCCTTATTTTGCCAAATACCTAATGCGGGTCTATGTGTCTGTTAGGGGGTGCACCATCTCTGCTTTAAAGGGCGCTACTTGAGGGTCAGAGCTTCCTAACGGATGGGCTCCATCCTCTAGTTTCTGGTTCAGGAGGTCTGGGCTGAGACTTGAGAATTTGCAGTTGCAACAAGCTTCCAGTCGTTGGATGCTAATGCTGCTCTCTGGGGAGCACATTTTGATAACCACTGGTGTAGTGGTAAAGGAGCCGATGTAGCGCTTTAGGATAAGCATTGTACTGCTAGCTGTAAGATCAGCAGTTCAAAGCACCAGCCGTTCCTCGGGAGAAAATGAGGCTTTCAGTTCCAGTAACGATTTACAGCTTCAAAGGCACTACCACAGAGTTCCTATAAATAGGAATAGACTCGACAACAAACACTTAACAATGACTAAACACGTCTTGGTGTCAAAAAATGCAAATATCAAACAAAGGCAATCTAGCAGAAGAACAAAATATTTCCAATAAAAATAAAGTCAAAAACCAAACCTACTGCCAGAGTCGATTCTGAGTCACAATAACCCTATGTAGGAATTCCAAGATGAAATCTTTATGGGGCCAGCAGCCTCATTTTTCTCTCCCAGAGCAACTGATGGGTTTGAACCACCGACCTCATAGTTAGCAGGTCAACATCTAGCCCATTGTATTAACAGGACTCCTTCCAATGAAATAGGGCTCTTAAAAAAAAGAGTAAGAAAAATAAATAGAAAGTAACGTAAGTATATAAAGGGCGTGAACTGTCACTAGATCCAAGAACAGAAATGACCAAATGCATACTTTTAAAATATCAACTGTACCAGGCATTAAAAAAATCACAATTAAACCAACATTCAGAATTCTTTGCCTACTGAATTTGTTAAGTGTCATCTAGTCTGTTCTGATTCATAGCGACCCTGAGAGAGTTTTCAAGGAGCAGCTGGTGGGTTTGAACTGCTGACCTTGCGGTTAGCCAAGTGCTTAGGTAAGTCCAGTGCTTATCCTGCAGTGCCACACCAGGACTCCTTTTAGCAGACATAAAATAAAAAAATGAAAAGAGCCCATGTTGAAAAGACTGTGGGGAACCATGCACTGCTTATATATACTTCCGGTGGCGTCATGAGCTAGTGCAGTCTTTGAAGTGGACAATTTGTATCAAACTGCCTTATAATTGGAGTCCTGGTGTGATGCTGCAGGTTAATGTGCTGGACTGCAACATTGACCGCAGCCAACCGCTCGTGTTCCTCAGAACTCAGAAACCTTATACGCTCAATGGCACTTAACAACAAATGTGTGT